ATGGAGAAGCAAAGATCCGGGGAAGTGAAATCCGCATGCATTCTGTCTTCCCAAAGTGTCAGCAGTGCCACTCCCCTTCTTACCCCCCCCCCAACCCGACCCCAGGAGGAATGGGAAGGCATTCACCCAAAGACCTGCAGTGGGTGGGTGGCTCAGGGCAGCCCAGACCAGGCACAGCAGGGCTGCTGTCACAATGGGATCCCACGCAGCAGGAAGAAGGGATAAACTGTCCATCCTGGGTGAGTCACAAAACGATGGTGCTGAGAGAAGACGCATGGGGCGGGCAGGGAAGGGGTCCCTGTAGAGCAAACTCATCCGCACTGGCAGAGAGCAGATGTGTGTGGGGTGGGGGCAGAAGGTAGGGGTCACCAAGGGGCAGAGGACCCTTGTGGGGCACGGTCCTGTAGCCCTGTGTTTGCAGGACTGTACGGAAGCATTGAACCATAACAGACCGTCCAGGGCAAAGAGGAGCGTTTGACCTCAGGCTGGTACCAAAACAGGAGGGTTTTAAGGCAGGGACTCTGTGGGACACCTTGATGTGTCATCGTGCCTTGGTACAAATCCACAGAACAGCAACACCATGGGGCGGGGGCTGATGTGAACTTGGACTTTGAGTGATTTTAAGTTTCACCACTTGGAATCCATGTTCCAGGTTGGTGCAGGGAGGCTCCGGAGATGGGGCTGTAGGGGACATGTGGGAAGCACAGGGGTACTTTTACCCAGTTTAGCTGTGAACTTAAAGTGCCCTAAAAAAACAGCTTGTTTAAAAAAAAATATCCCGAGGGATAAGTTACTATTAAATCGAATATTGCTGGGACTTCGTTTTGACATTTTGAGATGAGGTCCTTGTGTCACAGAGCCCCTAGGAGGTGGGTGTGGCTCTCTTGGGGACAGGGTGTCCAACACGGTGGCCTGGTGTGGTTCTCAGCAATCCAAGCACACAGGGCTCTTGCCTCCCCCCAGATCCATGGATCTTCTGAGTTTCCACTTGAGCATTGGAACAGGGCAGAGTACTCATGGGGTCCAGTGGGTGGAGCTGGAGTTGAGACTGGGACTACTCTAAGTGCCACCAACACACGGGTAGGGCGTGGAGCTGGAGCATGGGCGGAGCCGTCTTCCGTCTGCCCCCGCTGCGGTTCTCCAAGTCACAAGTCTCCCCCCAGTGTCCCAGTGGCTGGGACAACCCTCCAGGACTTCCTGCATCCCCCAAACACACCCCGGAGGTGAGGGTGCGCCATGAACCAGTAAGAAAAGGGCAGGAAGAGGGGGGGTAGGATGAGCCTGCTGCGTGCCTGGAAGGGCCCTGTGACACAGACTTCCTGCTCAGTGTTCATCCCTGTGTCTGCCCTCTGGGATGGGGTCTGGGTGGACACTTCTTATTTCTAGATGGCCACTGCCCTGGAGGGATTCCAAGGATCCAAGGCTTGCTGACCTCCTACAGGGTACCAGGGACCAGCCAAGGCCACCGGCTGTTACCTCCTTACCACTCACAATGATCGTCTTACAGATGAGGAAAGCGAGGTTCAGAAAGGCCAGTGGACCAGGAAGGGCTGTTCACCAGGGTAGCTCAGCAGGCAGACCTGGGTTTCTTTATCTGTACAATGGGACAAGAACACATCACTTTGAAGCACTCTGTGGGAGGACAGACAGACATTCCTACCCTGCTGCCGTGCTGGGGAGGAAGGGTGCACACCAAAGGCGTCCTGACAGAGCCTCAAGGGGAACAGGGTTCAGCATCTTCTCTGGGGTTGCTCCCCAGATTCTGGACGCTACCCATAGAGTCAGGGTTATGGTGAGGTGAATGTGGTAGGCACTGAGAGGGCCCTCTTAGCACTCACCTGGATTTGAAAAGTTTGTATTTTGCTTAGTGCAATGGCATCTGTAATCCCAGCATCTCAGGAGGCCGAGGCAGGAGGATTGCAAATTCAGGGCCAGCCTTAGCAGTTTAGCAAGGCCTTAAACAACTTTTAAGTGAGCCCCTGTCTCAGAATAAAAACTGAAAAGGGGTTAGGGGTGTAGTTCTGTGGTGAAGAACCCCTGGGTTCAATCCTTAGTACCAAAAAATATTTTTAAAAATAAAAATGAAAGTGTGTCAAAATGTATCATTTGTCCTGGGCTGATGAATTTTCATAAAGTCACCACCCCAGGGTGTCCCTGCCCCCAGGTTGAGAGACAGAACCTTACTAGAAACTGGAGTCCCATGGGTCACTGCCCACCCCTGCCCAGGGGTCCCTTATCTGATTTACAGCTGTTTTCAGTTACAGTTCACCCATGGAAAGTGTCTAATTCAATGGTTTTAGTACAATCACGGAGTTGTGCAACTACGGCTTGATCAAATTTGGAGCATTTGTCTTACCTGGAAAAGAAACC